AGCTGCTTGGGGTCCCAGCTGGAGAAGAAGCCATTCCTCTCCCTACACCCCACCCCTTTTGTACAGAATCCACACAACCCGAAGGACTCCAGGATTACAAGCTTCAGGGCAGTAGTTTTCAAATCTGGTCCCAAGACCAAACCAGCAACACCAGCAGCACACTGGAATTGCATAGAAATACCAATTTTCTGGCCCGCTACAGTAATATCAGAAACTGTAAAGTGGTGCCTAGCAATCTGGGTTTTAACAAGCCCCCTTAATGATTCTGATGCAGACATGCTGGATTTGAACTGCACAATTTAAGAAGCCATCCACTCCCAGGTTCGTGTAAATTCAGGGTCTGCACATGCATGAACGTACAAATAAGAAAAACCTTGAATTTTGTGCCCTAGGCACATCACTTGTTTTTGTCACCCTATCCACGCCCTGAGACCAATGCTTTAGGAGACTCCAATAACCGCAACATTGGCACCAAATGGATGGGCCTTTCCCTAATGGGCAGTGGGTGACTGGTCACTCAGAGGGGCAGCTCCTGTGAACAAGTGGGAACAAAGCCCAAGGGAGCCATGGAGCAGACTGATTAGAGAGTGTGTGAGGCATACCTGTGGAGAACCATCCCAGAAACCACTGGGGATCTCATGGCCGTGGTGGGGGTTGGAGGAGCTTCAGAGGGAGACCTGGGCTTCTCCTCTCCCCATGGAAACTGAGAGTTAGCAAACTTTTGGCTATGGGAATCAGCATGGCAATATTTACTATCTCCTATTTACTAGACATGTAACTGAGCCCCCCATGTCTCACACTCTCTCATTGAATTCTCAGTGCAAAGGTAAGTTTTATGATCCTGGTTTTGCAAAAGAAAAAACACAGACAAAATGATTAAATAATATGTGGTATATCTCAAGCTGATGAGTAGTGGACTGAAAATTCGACACGCTTTATTTACTACCTCTCAAATTTGTTGCCACTTGCACTGGGGTTAATGAATATCCACGGGTATGACTTCCATTCCCCTATCTCAGACAGCTGACTGCTCAGCACCCTGGTTTGCTCCTCCACTGTCTCCTATTCAAATTCCTAGAGAGCATTTGATGATTATTTTTCTTCTGCCCTGGACTTTGAACCCTGGAGGACTGGACATGACTCCTGGAATTGACTTGTTGGATCCTTTGAGAAAAGTCCTAGGAAGAAGCATTCTTGACCCGGGCTGCCAGGACTATACCACCCTTACTTCACTCAGACCCTGCCTGACATTGCACATCACTATGAATGTCATCTTTTTAAATGGAATCTCATTCAAGGCACCTAAGGTTTACAAATAATTTAATAGAGTGCATGCCTTTAAAAACTGTTCTGTGGTTGGGCAGAAGATGGGCTTCCACATTTAGAGCCACAGACACACAATGACTGAAATTTTGGGTAGATAGTACATTGTTCACCTCTGCACTGCAACTTTAATCCTGTAACCATGAGAAAGCTGACATATGTCTCCAGGTCTTAGTTTACCCTCTTTCAAAACTAAACTGGGGATATGGATGCCCTGTGCTCCCATGGCTTAAGCGGCCCTCAGCACATCATATCCTACTCCGGTCTTTGCAAGAGTCTGCCTCACTCATTCACCCCGCCCATCAATGAGGCTGAATAACTGAGGGTGTGATAAACTGTTGGTCAAGGCATGAAACGTTTATTGAGGGTGACTTGGCTCTGTGATAATTTAGATTATCATGCCCTGCCTACCTCAAGTCCAAGGGATTGCAAGGGATAAGTGTGGCTTCTGGGCAACAGGGTTTGGGGGTGTAGAGACCATGAGGTTGGAGAGCCAGCCTACAGAGTAGGGAGGACAGCTACACATTGTTTTCTTAAGGTTTAGAAAGACTATTGAAAAAGCATGGGGTCTGTGGGGAGTTCTCCATTCTGGCCCCCAGTGCAACTCCTACAAGGTGCTCTATCCCCTTCTCCAACCTGTCCTCAAAGTGTCAGGCATGTGGCAGTGCCATAGATGAAGCTTCCTTTGCCAGCACTGTCCCTGCAGCCAGAGCCATGGACCAGGACAGTTACATGGAGTATTTTCTTCCTTGCAGCCAGAAGATTTGGAATTTGCTAATCATTGAAATGCAAATTGTTAGCTGAGGTTCCTTAGTCTCTGGGAAGGGACCCTCTCATGTTTTACTCATAGCCTTGTACAAAGAAGGGTTTGTGAGCTTGGAAGGACTGAGCAGCAGTCCCAGGCATGGTCTCAAAGCAAACATCCTTAAAGTGCTTCCACTGGAGAAAGCTCTTAGGATTTCGAAACACATGTGCCTCTTCTGCGAATGCGACCTTGGTTTTGCCATATCTGGTTTTCCCAGAGTAACTAGAGGTTTTAAATGTGTAAGATGGCCTGCATAGAAAGAAAGCTGGGAGGACTAGATCCCTCTTCACAGACAAGTCAGATTACTCTGAGAGAGGAAAGGCAGGGGTGGGGCAGGACAGCTGCTGTGAGGCCCAAAAGGAGGCCTGGGTCTCCAGAGCCTCTGAGGAAGGGGCAGAGAGGAGGCTGGTCTGGGAGAGAAGAGACTCAGGCCAGATCAAGGGCTTCCCTCCCTGAACCCTCCAGACAGGAGCACAGGTAAGAAAACCCAGTCAGGCTCTTCTCCACCCCTACCTCTCCCACCACCCACCCACACCCTCAAGTGGCAAGCTCCTTAAGGCAAAGACTTTCCCCTTGCCCCTCTTAAATCACATTTACATCAACACATTAAAAATGAAACACAAAACTCAGAAACCACTTGCTTTTCTAATCCTTACCCTTCTCCAAGAAATGTTAAATGTAAGTTCAAGAAATAATTAAGCAAAGCCTTTTATCACAGTCTTCCCTTCTGTGAGAGACACTGTCTGGTAAATCAAGAAAAAACACACCATTTACCCACAAAACTAAGCACAATCCCTTATTATTATACAGTTAACCAAAACACAATTGTATATAATACAATTTACACAGACTACAATTACACAAAAGTAATGATGCAGTGTAGATGGCAATGACTTTCATGTAATCAAAAATGAACGTGTCCTTGATTAGGCATGAAGGCATGGCAGACCATCCCTATTGATCAGTGTTCCCTCTATTGATCTACACTTTGCAGAGGCTGTGCTGGCTGACGATTTCCGACACTTCCCCATCATCATTCACAAAGACTCCAGGGGCAGCAACCACTCGGAGCAGCATCTTCTATTCTGAGGTCTCCAAACTAGCACATTCTAATGAAGCACCCATGTTATTACCCACATGCCCAGCTTCTCAAATGGAATAAAAAGATAAAGGAGGAGAGCCAGGAGTCAGTATGATGTATTGACTATCACGTGTGCAGTTGTATTAACAGAGAAGCATGCTCATAAAGTTCCACCAATGACATCACTCATTCCAAGCATTAGAGGAGACTCACATCTGTGTAGCTGATTTCTGTGCCACTCAGGAGAGACACCTGCTACTTCTCACTGCTACTCTTGACTGGGGCAGTCACCTACAGCTCTGGGTGGGTTCTCTCTCAATCCATCTTTCTCAGTATTTCCCAAGGACCCTTCTTACTAGTAGGCAGATCTGACCACCTTGCTTTCTGACTCTTGCCTAGAGCACGAAGACAAACTCCACAGGCAGATAAAATTCTTCATGATTAATACGGGGCCACATCTCTAACCACATTTTCACATCACATGCTCCACCTGAGTGACCTACTATAGCCACGGAACAGTCTTTTATCAAATCTAAGACACTATTCATTGTAAGACATACCACTGTTTTAGATGCCACTAAGATAGATAAATAAATGCTGCCAATTAAACTATTAACATCAACTGTGAAATGTGTCCAAATATTACAGATTTCAGAATGAAAAACAGGTATCTTGTATTGGTGAAGTGCTTGCAAGCACGATGCCTCCTGTTTCTGTGCCATTTCACTTGCAGCATCCTGTCATCTCATCCCACAGGCACACCTCCCACCCCTCAGCCGGGTCTCTCCATCCTGTAAGCTGCAGCTCAGCACCACTCCCTGAAAACCTCCTTGATGTCACTTTCTCTCTGTTGGGCTAAGTTGCTGCTGCCATATGTCCTACCAATAAGGGTGCACGTCTTGGTCATGTATTGTACTTTATCGTAACGGCTAGTATATTCCCTGATGAAATTTCACCAAAGACCCTATTTCACCAGCACATAGGCTAGCACTTAACACATATGATTTACCCACTTAATAAATGATATTGTAACCAAAGGGAGTAGAATCTGAGACATAAAGGAGGTAAATACTAGAGAAGAAACATGGGGAACATGATGAACCTTGCTGAAAATTTATAATCGATTCTCTTTAATGTTCACCAGTGTGTCTTTGAATCTAGAAACTTCCCATATAAGAAGAGCCAAATCCCAGGAGATGCAAAGAGATACAATGAGCTTTTCTAGATTTGCAAGATGCAGAAAGTGCTGGTTCTTTCTCTCTGTCCAGGGCCTGCTCTATTCTAGGCCAAAGAAGCAATGGGTCAGGGGCAGTGACAGCAAAGGCGAGTTACCCCAGGAGACCCTGTGTACAGCTGAGAACTGCTCAGTCCTCTGCTATGGGGTTCCCAGCAGGCCTGACGCTTACACTTTCTCCTAGAGAAGACACACACTGCAGTGAAGAATGAAATAGTGTAGGAGAAAAGTCATTCCTCCCTCCTTTATGCTTTACAGTTAACTTCAAAGTAATCAAATAGTGTTTATGCACCAAATTTTAATCCTTTCAGAAATGTATAGTTTGATTTAATTTGCATATCCCATTTACTGCAAGTCAACCTGAAGAGAGACTCAACTAATTTAAACCATTTTTCTCTGGGTCTGAAATCCTTTCAGAAATATTTTCCATTAGGCAACTCAATTATATCAAATGTGTCTAATGTCAGTGGATTTGAATTTTGCTTAAAGAAACTCATATTTAGAACAGTGAGAATAGGAAGGGGACGGGGGAACACAGGAGAACAGACAATAATTACCTGTCTTTGATGCTACACAGATCAATGTGTAAATCACTAAAATTCCCCAGGGAACCTTGCTGAACTGAAATGAGGTCCTTGGGCTGGTTATCAATAAAGATGAGCCTCATGCAGCCTTGGAAAGCCTTAATGGGATTTAAGCATTGGGAAGCGGTGAGATTGTCAGGGCACCCTGTGAGACAGAGAAAAAAATGAAGAATCCTGAAATGATCAGTCAGTGCTTTGGCGACCTATCAGGAGAAGACCTTGAGGTCTAATTATTGTGGTGCTTTTTCAGTCACAGCAGTGCACACATTTTTTTGTAGTAAATCCTAGCATTTTCAGAGAGGGGACAGAATTGGTACAAAATAAGGCATACTCAATTACTGTATAGAAGAAAAACAAATATATTAAAAGGAATACCAATGCTACAACATGAATCTCATTCTTACTTCACTTTTCCTCGTGGCAAGCCATGTGCCCCTCTTCTGCATGGTGCACCTCACTCATTCCAAGGAAGCAACATGTCATAACTACTTGGGAAGGTCAGTTCTGTCTTGAAACACATTTTTAAATACACAACTCAATTTTTAATTACACTTTTAAAGGAAATTATGCTTTGGGTAAGGATGGCAGCAGAGTAATTATCTGGTTAATTGTTAGCATTAATAGGTTTAGTTCTTGACAAATGTATAGGTACTAACATAACTGGAATTTTAATGTGATGTGCAATCGAAGTCCAGATGCTAAAATAATTAAAGGTTTAAATGCACATAGTTATAGGGTTGTAATAGCACATGTGAAAGGCTAACACTATACCTTTTTAAAGGATGTTCTTTAAAAAGAAAAACATGATATATATTTAGCATAGCTTGAAACCATGGCATATGAGAAGTAGATACTTCTCGTGAACACAGGTAGAGAGCAATGTAGGTGTATGAGCGCTTGAGCTATTTATAAGCTCCATCTCAATTGTTTTAGTAGGTTCAGACCATATGGGAATACAAGCTTGGAAACACAGCAATAACCCATAAATAATTGGGAATTATTTCAGCCATCTCTAATAGACAGTCACTGCTGGGCTGACACCCGGCAGCTAGTTAACAGCTCACAGGCACACACACCATAAAATGAAGAGAAATGTTAGGACTTCTAATTGAAGCTGTAGAGAGAATTTATGTAAGTTGGCTATTATTACTGAAACTCATTTTTCACCTTCCTTAAGTTTACAGTGTACGTATGGGGCCCTTGTTTAAACACTGCTCAAATCACAGATAAATCTCCACCTTCTGGGCCCATTGCCCTTAAGGCCCACCTCTAAGAACAACCTGGTGGAAGGAGGTCATTTTGATTTTGAGGCATTCAAGCACTTACACGTCATAATTCTTCTACATTTTTTTCACAAAATATTGAATAAATACAAGATTGCTTTCTCTCTCTCTGTTGGAAACATTGCATATGATCCAAAATTACACAACGTGTGAAGTATATCTTTGGGGCCCCAAGACCCTCCTTCGACAGCCTTTGTGCTTCATTAGTTGCTGTCCCTTTGCTGTCACTAGTGGGTTGTAGAGAACACAGATCTGAGGGGGAATCCCCATTCTACTACTCCCACAGATTATTTCATCTCAGCAAACGCCAGTCTTATTTGCTGTGAACCGGGGCTGCTATTACCTACCTCACATAGTTACTGCATGAATTAAATGAGGTAAGACCCATAAAACATTGACAGAGAACGGAAGTATTTCCTTCTTAAGAGAATGTGCTATCCACGCACACATGGGGAATATTGGGGATGAAGCACAGAGGCCCCTCCTGAGGCCCTGCAATCAAACCACACATACACTGTTCCATACTGCTTCCCTTGTAGGGCACCCCACGGTGTATACCTCATCTGTGCAAAGTCCCTTTTGTATTTCAAAGCTTGTCCACATGTCACGGGTCTAAGAGGAAGGATTTGTAAATTCCATTAAAGAGACTGCACTTTATGATTTTACCCAAAACTTCTCTTCAGTTTTTTCATGGAAAAAGAATGGGAGACGGTAGACCAGGTTCAGTCTACACATGTGTATGCACAAATGTTGAAGTCAGTTTGTCCATTCCCTGCCGGGTAGGAAGTTCTGTACCTTACATGTAAACGTTAATCTCACTGAACTCTCCAAGCAATTCTGCTTTGTTTCTCTGTGGCCTACATGGAAGGTAAGGGGCTATAAGTATCCTGCTCAGGATTAGACAGCTATTGAGATTAATTAAGCTTTAGACTAATTACTCTTTAGAGATTGTTTCTAAAATATAAGCAACTGATTAAGAAATTGTATATTAATATTTTAATGAAAGAAACACCTTGCAAAATAAAAAACTAAATAAAGAAATATATACATTTGGAAAATGTAGTGGATGCCTAATCATATATTTTTCATCTTTACCAGTTTGCCCTGTGTCTTTGTCTTAGGAAAGGTTCCCAGGTTTCACCCAGCACTGGCGAGGGCAGGATCTGTACTGGCTGCCCTGGTGGAGCTACAAGTTCATGGGCCTTCTATGTCTTCCCCATTTTTAGCTGCCCCTCTCCTGGCATGACCGCCAGGGATATGGGGAAGGAAGAGACAGGGGATTGAGATAGCAAAGCGGCAGAGAAATGGCCCGGATGGCTGAGCGAGCTGGCTGTTCCCTCCCACCCGGATATTTCCTCTTTTAGGCACTGCTGACTGTGGGTACTTTTCTCCAAGTTTTCGGCTGAGTTTCCCCTTTCGAGTGTGATCACAGAGCTGTGCATGGCTATAAAAATCTCCTTTGGACATGTTATGTAATGCCGGCTCTTATAGCTAAAGTTCTTTTTTTTTCCCTCAGCACTGACCTAGATAATTTATATCTGCACAGCTGTGAGTTTGCTTCGCATTTTGGGCTTGGGGGTGGGTGCGCGCGTGTTGAAAGAATGGTCTAATTGACAAAGAATCATCAGAATGAAATAACTGTCCACTATAGTCTCTCTTGCACCTTTATTTTCCACCTCCAAAGCTGGGGAACTGACCTCCAAAGTAGTAGCTACTTCCGGAATAAATCTGTATCCGGGTGGCGTCTTGAGCAGGGGACGCTGCGTCGTTATCCAGGGTGAGAGTGATGCGGTTCCTTCTGGCGTTGACGCTGACTGAATGCCATAGGCCGTCATTCAAGCCGTTGCCTGGAAAAGAAACAGGAAGGGCACACATAGGGGTGAGTGACTCGGGGAGCTTTGGGGAGAGTGGGGCCCATTTTCCTGGCCTCCTGTGGTCCCTGTGCTTTCTCAGAGTGGTCCCCACTCATCACTTTGCTTAAACCAACCCCGCAGCTGCTTCCCAAGAGTCATTTTTCTCTTTTTACCACTTCATTCTATCCCTTTTTTTAAAGTGGCTGAACAATTTGGGATAGTTGGTTTAAAAACAAAATGGCACAGCACAGATTGGTATGTATACTACAACCAAAGGTAAGCAACACATTAATTGACCTACTGCGATATAAACTCAGAGTAAAAGGCTGAAAAGGACGTGCTCAAAATGTTCCTGGTGGTTTTATCTCTGGGCAGTGAGATTACAGGCAATTTTAGTTTTCTCATTTTTTTTACTAATGGCTTATATCTCTATTTTAGTAAAAATAAACTATTTTTAAAGGCAAAAGTAGAAGAGGAAGGCTTGAGGCCAATGACACGCCAGGCAGAGGCAGTCTCCTGTTAAAGAGAGATAACAGACTAGTTCAATTCCAACCTTTCCCTTAACTCATATGACACTGGCTGAGTGACCTGCCTTCACTGAGCTCTGGTTTTATCATCTACAATATCATAATTTCTCTGTATTATTGTTCAGGGGATCAGTTCAGGTCAGGCAAGAAATTCCCTAGAGCAGTTGGGGGCATCGTGGGTGTTTGTGAAAAGTTCATTCTTCCCTCATTCTTTTGCCCCTGATGTCTTTGGTGTACAATCCACTGCTGGCCTACTTTATTGAGGAAACTATATTGGGAATTAGTCATGAGGGTATAAACTTAAACTGTTTCCTCCAAAATTTTGTCATCTGTGAAGGCTCTGTTGGTGCAAAGTTCTTGCTGAAGAAGACGGTCCAGTCACAAAGATTTGTGTGTGACAAGAGCAGAAAGCCACACATTTCTGTACTTAGCAGGCATGTATTCTACTTTGCTATGTACTGACTTGTCTTCCTTCTCATGGCCTCAGTTTCCTCCCCTACAAAATGGGGACAATGATTATACTTATAGGCTATTGTGAGAATTATACCAGTTAACACTGCAGAGTGTGTAGAAAGGTGTGTAGAAATATCACAAGTAGAAAAAGTGTGTAGAAAGTGTGTAGAAAGAGTGTGTAGAAAGGTAGAAAATGTTTACTAAAGCAGATGGACATAATGGCAACTATAAGACAACCCCTGCCCTGTGCAGTTTGGATATTAATATCACATGGTCTCAATCCTTGGGTAGGCCATAGTTAAGTGGAAGAGACACATGCAAAGTGGATTAAAATTCTGTCCTTTAAGTATTTCAGGCTAGTGGGATAGACAGTGAAGCAGGTAAACACCACATGCAATTCTGGGGGGAAGAGTAAATGTGAGAGCAGAGAAGAAAGGAGGCCTAAATTAACTCCATGTGAGGATCCCAAAAATGCTTCACAGAAGAGGTGATGACAGTTTAGGAAAGTTTTGAAAAATGAGCAAGAGTTCGCTACTCCTAGAGCAAGAGTTCCAGGAGACAGAGAACCTGTAAACGAAGCAAAGGTTTGGAGTGAGAAGCAGGAAAGAATAGGAAGGTGGGCAGGAAGAGGTGCCACTCACCCAGGGCCTCGGATGCCCATGCTAAGAAAGGGGTTTCAACTGTGTCCTCTGACACATGACTCTGGAGAGTACTTTATCTACATCAGTTTATCAGAATCTCAGGATGGGGCCCCAGGCATTTGCATGTTCAGAAGGCTCCCTGGGTGATTCTACTGTGCAGCCAGGAAGGACAATCACTGTTTTGGAACATGGACATCTGTGAGGGGTCTTAGCATGAATATTCAAAGATTCTTGCAGCAGAGGCAGGTGATGGGAGCTGGGAGGAGACAGGGGAAGCAGAATCGGGGGACTATTGCGGTCATAGCCCCAGAAGACAGAATGATGAAGTTCTCAGCCAGAGTAACAGCAGTGAAAATGGACAGTAAGCGTAGGTTAAGATCTATTTCTGGAGGTAAAATAGATCAGACTTGGTAGACCTTCCTGGACAGTCCCTGAGAACCCAGGGAAGAATGCATTCAGAAACAGAGCAGAGCTCTGCCTGGCTCCTGAGAAAAGCTACTGAAGTGCATGTGCTCGAGCCCTTGGATGGCTGGAGGTGCTGCCCAGGGAGAGCTCAGCACCAGGCTGTGGCCCAGCTGCATAGCACTGGGCAGCCTTGCCCCATCTGCCCAGAACAGCCCAGATGGAGGGACCCCTCCTGTGTTCGCAGCCAGGTCCCTTGCAGGCAGTCTTCCCTTCAGCCCTGAACATCTGCTTGGGGTGGAGCGGGAACCCAGGGGCTGCTCAGCCTGGCCACCCTACCTTCTTCCAAAGACCGGTGTTGGAGTTTTAACCACAGGGATTCTACTAATGAGGTAGAGGCTCTGTCAGGTGCCTCCTGGTGATGAACATTTTACTTCTGTCAGGGGCAGCTGGAGGACAAAGCCAGCTGCAAGTCCTCACTTCTGTTACTTTCATTTGCATAGTACTCTAAATACATCTGCATAATATATGAGACAACATTTGCAGACAGACTATAGACTAGGCTGGGAGTCAGTGAAGAGTTCAATACGTAGGGTGTAAATAGCCCCTAAGGGCCCAGCACCCTGCTAGGCATCAGGTACAGCAGAGAAGGAAGTACACGTGGAGGCCACAGTGAGTTTGCTGTTTAATGAGAGATACATCACTTATCTTTTAAGAGTTCTGAATGTGAGTTGACAGGGCCAGACCATTAGCTTTGTCTTCTGATTCTGGTTCCTTCCCCCTCCAACATCACTATCCATGTTTCTGTCTTTAAAATCATCACTTAATGAGGGTTTGCTTCATTGTGTGTTTCTTTTTGATCTACTTTTCCATCTGATTTGATCTCTTTTGCGCTGTCCCTGCATTGTCCCGAGTCCCTGCAGGGGGAGCCTGTGTGAAGTCTTAGCTTCCTTTAGAGGAGAATTATTAGAAGAGTAGTTCTTGATGCTGACCACACAAAGGGGTCACCTGGGGAACTTTTGAAAAGACAGGTCCTGGGCCACACACCAGGCTAATTAAGACAGGCTGCTGGGGTGGCCCCAGGCCCTGCAAGTTACAAAGATCCCCAGAGATTTAATTGTGCAGCCTGAGTTGAGAACTACTCCATTAAGCTTTCAGAAGAGGAAGGAAAGAAGCTGGGAAAATCAAGACTAGCTTTAGAGGAGCTGACCTGGGAATAGATTCCAGAGCAAGCCACGCGGCATACTTCCTCTGAAAACCGGCTTTCTACCCGGAACTCCTGTCCACTGTATTCTGTTAATCCATCCAAACAAGCCTAGAGGTTCATAAAGGCTTAGTTTTGAAGAACACTCTTTTGAAAGTACATGTTTAAGTGCTATTAATTATTGATTAGGGAAAATAAATTCTATCAGGGTGCTTTCCTTCAAAACTTCCCTGTGACAAACAGCTATGGAAAAAATAAGTTTTCAGTGGGAAGAACAGGAAACATCTTCACAGGTCAAAGTCTCTGGTGCTGGTGATGGGGGTAAAGGGGTGGGGGGAGAAGAACAGGGTATTTGGGGCCACTTTGCAGTGTTAAGCACTTATACGATTTCAGAGCTGAGGATGGAAGGGGGGCTTGGGTTCTGGAAAGACTGATGGATGATGACAAACATAAAACTTCTAAACTTTAAAATGATGTCAAATAATATTTGCCATCTCCCAGACCAGCAAAGAATAAAAACCCATTATACTCAATAT